TGCTAGTACTAACTGCATGTCTAGGGAGCTCTCCAGTCCCATCAAGACCGAGGCCAACATTGCCGTTAGACCGAGCATCAACGAACCTCGAGGGAGGGAGCTCGACCACAGCCTCGTATCCTCGAGGTCTCAAGATGATCCCCTGAAATGCCTTAATGACGAGAAATTGGACCCTCCGATTTCGCCGTATACAATATACAATAAATATATTTTATATTCGTCGATTTTAATGTATTCCAAGATTTCTAGAGAAAATAGGTCTTTGTGGTGGTCTTAGATGGTGATGAAATTAGATGTGATCTTACAAGTCAGAGGTAACACTTGTTAAATTTGAAGTCCTGCCCATGGGGCTGCGAGAACAAAAATCCATGAATCCACTAATATGAGAGCTATTTGTGTACTTGACCAATTTTCTCTCATGTTTTTTTTCTCTTTTCTTGTGTTGCTTGAAGTGCCCAAATAGGCCTTAAAGTGGATGGTCTTAATTTTTTTCCCGCTTTCTCAATGATTTGAATTTCAAGTAAGCGGCGCCTCTCGCTTACTCCAAGCAATATTTTTAACATTTAACTTTAAAATTCTGTTAATGGGACAAGGGGATCAAAAGTTAAAGACCGCCCCAAGAGTATTATATTTCTGAATTTTTTGATGATATACAATCCTGGTTAGGTGGTGAAATAGAGTAACTTGGCTAAGCGGATGTTAACTTTTTATCCTTGTGGTTATTTTTGAAAGATTCCCTGTTAAGTTCAGCTTCCGCTCAAGTTGGGCTTTGTATCCAATTGGGCTGAATCTGATACTACCCTAATAGTGGTCAGTAAAAAAAATAAAAGAAGAGTCAGCCCAAATAACCGCTTATCCAATTATTTAAATTAAAAATAGCCTAAGAATATATAATATATGCATAATTTATATATTACAGATGTATAATTATACATATTCAATGTATAATTTGTGTATCTGGCTAAAAAAAATAAAAATATAACTGTCTATTTATATAAAGATCCCAAAAAATAACCTAATAATTCTGGTTCCTTATATATGATGCCATATAGAGCTGTTATAGGGCTTTATATTAGATGTTCTGTTAGCGTAATTAGGGTATATGTTTCATTTTTATTTTGACAAAATGTAAAAAAAAAAAAAAGTACAGACTGAATCCATGCTCTTCTCTCTATATCATGTATAATAATGTTATATTTTTTAAAAAATTGCTTAAATATACATGTTTGTACCCAAGCTCAAAGAGTCCTATGGTTTAATGATTATTGGGTGCACCTTTACAAGTGAAGTTAGAGGTTCAATTCTTAGTTTATAGGAATGTGTCGCCTTGTGTTTTAATTAAGTATTTTTCTTTTTTATTTGATTTATTTATTCATAATCCCTAAATCTAACAAATTGAAATAATTGATTTCCCTTTGGCATCGCAAATTTTTCTATAATTAAAACTAATAGCAGTAGATGATATAGCATGTTTCAATGATCTCAACATTTTTGATATGAAGCATAAGTATATATGTTAAAAATTACTAAAATTGTAAGAAAAAGTTTAATTTTAACCTATAATATCTAAATGGTAATGGATTCATGGTAAGAATCTAAAGATTGAACCCGTTAAATATAAATTCTAAATTCACCTCTTTGTAATTCTGAATCCGTTTCTGCTCACGATGAAAGTTCAGGTAGCTAGCCAACCAACTAAATTACTAAGGTTCTCGTGCTTCACTTTTGATTTACTTTCCGTGTAAAATTTATCTTTTTCTTGAAATAACACTCTTATCTTTTGCAAGAATTGAACTTCATGGTACACCGATGAATAACACCACTAGCATAGAAAATGAACTCGTAGTACTTCTTTTTGTAGACTGGGAGAATGTTTCTTCTTCTTCTTCTTCTTCTTTTTTTTTTAAAAAAACAAACATTTTCCACATGAAGAAAAACCAAAACAAGCGATAATTAGAAAAAAGCGNGAAACATAAAGTAACAAGACCATAACCCCGTGCCCCCGCCTTAAAGGATCCCAACTCATCACCCTCATCTCCAACTTATTCGTGGTTTTAAGGTGCTTTTGACTATTATAAAAACTTATTTGGAGACCAAGGCGAGGGGTCATCTTCGGCAACCAACCGGTGGAGCCGGCCTCCCCGCCGTCCCCCCTGCCCGCACCCTCCATAACGGAAGTACGTAGAAACCTTGATCTGTTTACTTCCTCCTTTAATAAGATCGGGATGAGGAGTGACCTTTTACTGGACCTCGAGGATCGGCTTAAACTTTTAGAGGAAGAGCCAAACAGGGGGGACAGCGGGTAGGAGAAATGGAGGTTTGGGCTCTAGAAGGGTTTGGGCTGGATGATACAACAAATTTCTCTAACAAACTATAACATCGTTACATGCTTTCCCCCAATTCTTCTTTTGTTTTCTTAGGTTAGTCTGTTATACTTTATGCCAGAGCCAAAAGGTCCAAAAATAGAATGTAACATCCTCTCCTCATCTAAAGTTTAAAAAGGTGAGGCAAATAGTGGACAATAATACATGACATTTATATATATATCACGCAATTAACAAACTTTGGTTTTGTCATATTCTAATCAACGAGAAGATTTTTCAGTGTTTATCAATAAGGGAACTAAGGCTTAAATTAAATGTTGCTTAATGGTTGCAATTTTAACGTCCAAGTTTTTGTGCAATGTTTAAATTAAATCTGAAAAAGGTTTTATCCTCTTCAATTAATTACACAATAATAGGAAGAAAAGTATAGTACTTAGTTCTATAATATCCATAATAAAATAATAATTCCTTGAGGAAACGAACTATCCCATGACCAAATCAGATTTTCCTAATACGTACAGATCTGGCCAAAAAGGGACTACCAAAAAGTATTCAGAATCTTAACCTCAGAGGAAATACTCTCCTAATACGTACAGACCTGGTCAACCCATATTGAATAATCTACTGCTTCCGGAAAAATAATATTCTCCGGTTTCAATTTATATGAGGTACTTTGACTCGATACGGAGTTTTAAAAAAAAAGTTTGAGGGATAAAAGCTTTATGGGGCCATGACATTTGTGTGGTTATAAAGCTTTTCATATAGGATAAAATAGATAAAATGAAGAGTTTAAAGTTGAATTATTTCTAATTGTAGAAAGATGTCATTCTTTATTAAATGAATTAATAAGAAAAGTATGTCATCTAAATTGAAACAAATAGAGTAATACTATAGAGTTCTCAAAGTAGGTCTAGATTCAGTTTACGAATTCTCTTTTTCTCTTACGTAACTATAAAAAATAAAAATAAAAAGAAAAAGGTCCTACTTGCCTATTTTAGACCTATAGCCCGTTTGGTCAAGCTGCAAAAATCGGCTTATTTTGAGGAGTGTTTTTTTTCAAAAGTACTTTTGGTGAGAAGCAGTTTGTGTTTGGCTAATTAGTTTGAAAAGCACTTCTGAGCAGCAATTAGTGTTTGGCCAAGCTTTAAAAAACTGCTGCTAAGTGTATTTTTCTCAAAAGTGTTTCTCAAAAAAATAATTTTGGAGAAAAACTACTTTTTCTGTTTCTTCAAAACTGCTTCTGCTTCTCCTCAGAAGCACTTTTTTTCCTTCTAAAAGTTTGGTCAAACACCTCAATTTTTGACTAAAAGTGCTTTTGGCAAAAAAAACAAAAACACTTTTGACCAAAAAGAAACTTGGCCAAACAGGCTACTTGTTTTGGAGCTCATAAAGTAAAGGGCCAAACTTTCAATTAATTAAAGTAGGATTTAGAAAGAAAAGAAATTAACCGTAGGGGTATTTTTAATTGCTTAAAGTATAGCCCTCCAAGTTTATTTTGTAGTCGTTATGGCCTCTAGGTGTATCATTTTCTTCCAGAAGTTTGTACTTAGCATAAGCATATTATGCCATTACTATTTATGCTTACGCGATAAACGCATACTTCCTTCGTTTTATTTTATGTGAGCCTATTTTTTTTTATTTCGTATAAAAGAATGATTCTTTTTATATTTGAAAATAATTTACCTTTATATAATGATTTATAAGTTATAATCACACAAAATATATACGTCTCATTTTACACTACAAATTTAAAAAATTTCTTTTTTTTTTTTTTAAATTTCGTGCTCAATCAAATAGGTTTACATAAATCGAAACGGAAGGAGTACGTAAACATAAGATTTGAAACCTACGACACTTTAGTTAATATTCATGCACATATGAATAATTGAATATTATACCTTATGGTCGAATATAGACATTTAAATTGTCGTCCATATTACACGTCTTGGAATATCTATTAACTCGCCATAATATTTAGTGCACATGATATAAAATCTCTTTCTTTTCACACTAAATCTCTTCTTTTTCTTTTTTCTTTTTTTTTAAAAAAAAAAAAACAAAAATGTTCACCTTACCGGATATTGTACAGATGTGATCCTGTAGGCTAAAAACCTGGGACCCCTTTTACCCCTTTGTTTTAAATGTAATATCAATTTGTCTAAATTGTTTTATCTGTTTATAAGACTAATTCACATAATTTGAGTTCGGTCGGGACCCACCATTGTGGACCGCGAGGGGTGCCCAACACATTCCCCTCAAGGTTATTTTGAGCCCTTACCCAATCTCCGGTAATGCAAACCGGTTTATGAGTTACTTGCTTTAGGCGTCCTAACGCACCTTAATCTATTAGGCGGTGACTCTTCAAATTCAAATATTCAATTCCCGAAAGGAAATGAGTTGTTCCCAATAAATGTCGAAACCCGAACTCCACGAGGAAAAAGGGGGCGCGACAATATTAATATAATTTTAATATTTAACAAATAAATTTGGTCCAAAAATTAATTAATCAAATCATTTGATTGACGAAGCCGAACCGAGAGAGCGACTACGGCGCGAGGCTTGACGTCTTCTCAACTTTTTAAGAATTAGAAAAAGTGCAATTATATATAGCCAACAAATAAACTTTCCTCCTCCAATATGGGATAATGTTTCTTTATAAAGGAGAGAAATTCAAATTTTTATTTTTTCCTTCATTTCTCTTTCACATTATTTTTTAACTAAAAACCCAACAAAACATTATCAAAAAATTTATTTACGCACTTCTACTGAACTCGTAACATATTGAGCACCCGATTTCCATTCAAAATATGCTTACTAGACACAAAATGCTGACATGACCCTCCCCCACCCCCAAACTAAGAAGAAAGATGATGAAACTGCTAAAGATGATCGAGCAATCTATCAATTTAGGATTTAAAAGCTTAAAGGTCAAATGAGGTGTTCTAATACCAACCAGACCTGGCCAATCCATACTGAATAGTCTACTTCTTCTAGAAAAATAATAGGATATAATTAAGGACATAAACATCTTTCAATAAGATTTCGAACATATGTTCTTATTAATAAATATCATGCACATATGGATAAATTACATTAAGGCGACTATACATTTAAATTGTCGTAGATATTTCATGTCTTGGAATATCTATTCTTAAAAATTCTGAACTTGCCACAATATTTAGTGCATATATATAATATAAAATATCTTTCTTTTCGCATTAAATCTCTAACTAAATCTCTTTGCGTTCACCAAAAATCAAAGTCCTAAGAAAATTAATTAAACTCTCATCTTCAAGACCGAAACTCGAGTCAATTTTTCCTTTTCTTTCTTTTGCTTTCTGTACGTTTTCTTAATCCTTTATTTCTTCATCTATGTATTTCCTCTCTTTGTACAATCTCATTTTTATTATTTATCGAAGATTTTCAAATTTATTTGAATGTGATTTAAATCACTTTTTTTAATGAATCTAATATTATAATTCAATTTTTTTCTTTTTGGGAATGATGGCATCAATAGACAAAACGTTAATAGCTACATATAGATTAAAGGGGTGTAATATATTTATTTATGCATAAAAAGTCTTGTAAAACGAATTAAATTATTCAAAAATGAACCAAATTAAGTTAAATGGGCCGAACCAACTAAATATATACCAACCTCCTTTACTAATGGTAGGTCTACGTTAAAGATAGTGGCCCTCGTAGGTCATCAAAGATTCTGCCTCATTAGGGTATATTTTCATGTTTATTTTGTACTTATATAATTTTTATAAAATTGTAGATTATTTTCCTTTTCAAATTTATCTTTTAGTCTTTTCGCATAAAACTTATCTTTTTCTTGGAATATGACACTCTTATATTTTGCAAGAATTGAACCCTGGTACGGATGAACAACACCATTAACAGAGTAGACGAATTCCTAGTACTTTTTCTTTTTCTGGACTGGAAGAATATGTTATTTGTCTTCTCTTTCTCATACTCTTTTTTTTTTTTTGCATCGATCTTGACCCACACGAAATAAAACAAACACAAGGGATTATAAGAAAAGCGACAAAACAAGGCCGTGTTATATAACAAACTATAATATTTTGAGGAAATAATATATACTACATAACGAACTATATCATCTATAACACGCTTTTCCCGGGCATTTGCATCTATACCCGCTTTTTATGTCACGTTTTAACTTATGCCCGCTTTGCAAAAACAATTACAAGCGTACCTGCTTTTTTACATAACTTCAGCATACGGGGCTGAAGTAGCAAAGACAATCACGCAAAACTTCAGCATTCTAATAGCCGGACCTGAAGTTCAGCTCTAGAGCTGAAGTTTTTGTTTTTGTAACTGGCGAACTTCAGCTCTAGAGCTGAAGTTTTTGTTTTTGTAACTGGCGAACTTCAGCTCTAGAGCTGAAGTTTTTGTTTTGTAACTGGCGAACTTCAGCTCTAGAGCTGAAGTTTTTGTTTTTGTAACTGACAAAGTTTTTGTTTTGTAACTGGCGAACTGAAGTTTTTGTTTTGTAACTGGCGAACTTCAGTTCTAGAGCTGAAGCACCACAATTAGCAGTGATTTTTTAAGAAAAATAGTGTACATCTTCTCAGCTCAAACACGAATAAACATACAAAAACTCCAAAATTCTACAGCTCATCCTATTGGTAACTTAAACTTTTTCCTAAGACTAATTTGCTATAAATTTGGAGCAGAAGTACAACTGTCGAACTGTTCAATTAAAAAAAATTGACCTTATAACTAAAGCAGTGTTGCTTCTGGAGATAAATACCAGTTTATTTTGTAACTTGAAGAAGAAAACGAAGGAGAAGGAGAAAGGGGGCTGAAGTTATTTAAAAAGTGGGTATAAATTAAAAAAATTTAAAAAAATAGGTATAAGTTAAATGGGGACGACCAAATAGTGCGTCCCGTCCAATTTTTACGCTTTTCCCCAATTCTTCTTTTATCATTTTGTTGGGTTGTTGGTCTGTTTTACTTTTGCCAAAGCCCAAAGTCCAAAAATAGAATCTAACATCCTATCCTCATCTAAAGTTTAAAAAGGTGAGACACAATTTGCGTAAATTAAGTCATGACATTTTTTATATTTCACGCAACCTACAAATTTGATTTTAATCATATTCTAATCAATGAAAGATTCATCAGTGTTTATCAACAAAGGAACTAAGACGGCGCTATTGCATCTATATCCGATTTTGAGGTCACAATTGAACCTATACACACTTTATAAAAAAATTTGTAAGTCTACCCACTTTAATAAAAAATTATCTGAAGTGAAAAAATTGCACTTCAAATGCATTTAGGGCCAAATAGGTCTGAAGTGCAACCAATAATTTCAAACACTTAAGGCCAATAAGTGTGAAATGAAAAAATTGCACTTCAGATGCACTCGAGGCCAAAAGGTCTGAAGTGCAACCAACGTTTGCATGCACTTAAGGCCAAATAGGCTTGAAGTGCAAATTGCCAAGAAACAGAAATTTGTTCTCCCAATTTTAACAATTCAATATATGATTTAATACTTAAATCTACTCTAAATAAGCTCAAATTTGAAGCATAACTTCCAAATATCATCAAGAGCAAACCACAATCATCAATGTATCAAACAATAAGTCTAACGAACACATTTTATAATTAAGAAAAAGAAAAAAAACCTAAGCAACAGTAAAAAATAAAGCGCTCACCGGCCACTATAAAACAACTTTTTCTGCTGTGTAATTGAAGAAGAGTGATGAAAGTACAAAGGGGATCAGATGAGGTCCCTAAAATTAGCTTGCATGGTTTACCATAAATCGAGCATTCCATCGTTAAGGTCAAAGGAAGTGTTCTCCTAATACGTACGTACAGACCAGGCCAATCCATATTGAATAGTCTACTGCTTCTGGGAAAATAGTATCAGGTCCCAAAGTAGGTGTAGATTCAGTTTTTACCTTCTCGTTTCCTCTTCCTTGAATCCTTATGTAAGTAGGCGGTGAATCGGGGTAAAAGTCGCTAAAAAATGGCGGAATGTTCTCAACCAACCGCCATCATGCTATGATCAGTCTCTGAAAAAGAGGGATCTTTTCCCCTTTTAGAATTGTAATGTATTTTTCTATTGATGAAAATCGCCATTAGAAATCAAATAATAGTATTTTTTTTTTGTTATTTTGATAAAACATAAAAGGTCTCATTTGCCTATTTTTGATCGAGTTTTTGGAGCTTATAAAGTAAAGTGCCAAACTTTTGATGACAAAAGATAATTACATCACTTGGCCAAATATACACACTAGGGGTCTTTTCGGTGAACACGAGTTATCCTGAAATTAATTATGTTGGGATTAGTCTTGCTGAGATTAATTATATTTGGATTAATTATGTTAGGATTAGTTATTCTAGTATAATTTCTTATTGACTGCGTAGTATAAGTTCTCTCGGTACTATTTTTAATCATGGGATATATCACAGGATTAGTAACCAAACAAGGGATAAGACGGTACTAAATTTTTATCCTAGAATTATTTTTGTTTATGTATCATACCAAACGACTCCTAATTATGCATATATATTCGGTATAGTTTTCCCAAAAAGGTATTTTTAATTGCTTAAAGTATGGCCCTGCAAGTATATTTTGCAGTCGTTAAGGCCTCTAGGTGTAGCATTTTCTTCTAAAAGTTTGTACTTAGCATAAGCATATTGCCAGTAATGTTTATCCAAGCTTACACAATAAACACATACATAACCAGCATGGCAGCATACGATAAGATTTGAACCCTACAACATATTGATAAATATTCAAGCACATATACATATCATACATTAAGGCGAATATAGACATTAAAATTGTCGTCCATATTACACGTCTTGGATATCTATTCTTAAAAATTCTGAACTTGCCACAGTATTTAGGTCATATATATAATATATAAATCTCTTTCTTTTCACATTAAATCTCTAACTAAATCTCTTTTCTTTTTAAAATAAATATTCACCAAAAATCTGAGTCCAAAACAGTTTATTAAAATTTTCATCTAGAACAAACTGGTTCTTCCAAAATAGTCTCTAACGAAGGTTTCCTTGATCTACATGACAACCTATACTTCAACTCATGCTCCACCGGAAACCCTTCAACCCCATCCGAATTCCGTCCACCGGCGTTGATCTCCGGCGTTGACTCCGGCGCCGGCGCTGACACTTCCGGCGAAATCTTAACCTTTCCTCCAGAAATTCTCTTAGCAGCAGAATTAGCAGCCAATAAAAGCACAGTCATATCAGAAGCTGTCACAACTGAATTCACTCTCTTCATTGGAAACATAATATAAACATTTCCAAACTCCAAATCTTCATCGGCAGACAAAGCTGAAAATCTACGACCAATATTTAACGAACTTGAATTCACTAAAAAATTATTTGGGTTCTCTAACATGAGTTCTGCTGCTTTTATTGGTTCACGAAATTGTCTGATTTCTCCTCCTGGTAGAACAACTCTGGCTGCTTTTGAATTCCTTATCGTTGGTAAAACAGTACATGAAGTAAAGTTTCCCATAGGAAATTGTGATAAAAAATAGTTTGAATCAATAAAATCTTGTTTAGGGTATGTAAAACTGTTATTGATATTGGGTTTCTTGAGAATGTGTGTGTGAATGGGTGTTTATATATATGTGGGAGAAAAGGCACACGGACTAGAGAAGAAAAGTATACAGTATAAGATTTTTATAATATGGAATTCGCACGTTTGAGACTGTTGAGTCAAAGGGTTTGACGATATACACGCCGTTGAAAAGGGAAAAGGGGAGGAATGAGGGGAAGCTAATTAAGGTATGAAATTCACGAGGGATTTTGCTATGAGTTTAAATTTTGAATTTAAATTCAGATTACCTAAAGGTAAGCTTCCTAAATTCTTCATTAAAACTGAAATCTATAATTGTTGAAAAAAAAAGAAAAAAAAAGCTACCGATTACAACAGGTAAAAGTAACGTAATTGTTTGAAATTTACTTATAATAACAAATTAAACTCTTAAATTTTATATATTAATGGTGTAAAAAAATATTTATAAGAAAACTTATTAGGTAATTACGAGTTTTATAAATATTAATTAGTAATATGATAAAATTAGTAGTAAGTAGTATACGCTTACAAAATTTATGGTTAGAGATCGGTTGGTAGGATGTGTTAGAGAAAATAGTGCATGTACTAGCTTTGGTATTATTAATCTTTCATTTGGTACACTTTGTTAATCTCTTTATAACTAATATATGTATTAGTTATACACCCTTGGTATTATCCTATGTATAACTAATACATAAATAAGCATGGTTAAAGATAAAATCATCCTTCAAGTCTCTCAAAACTAAAAAATGGGGAGGATATTTTTGTAAACAAATATTTTTTTTTAAAGAAATTATATAATGCATGTCATTTTTAATACCACACCAAATAATTATAAGAAATAATTTCAATATAACAAATACTAGCATAACTAATCTTTGTATTACTAATTCTTATATTATTAATACACTTTATTCAATACTAATGTTATGCATCCTGCTAAACGAACCCTTGAAGTACATATAATTTAAATCAGTTCGGTATAAATGCGTGTGGGGCTGCAGTAGAGAAAACCCGTGGGATTGTGTTGGCTAAATTCTGGATGAGAATTAAAGTAGTGGAAAGCTTCTTGTTATTTTTATTCTTTCTTTTTTCTAATGCCTTCTGTCCTTTTCTTTGTGGGGTTGGGAGAGAGCCCTTCGGTTGAAGTGTTCTTCGTATCTATTTGTCATGTGATTTGCAACAACAAATATAAATTTTAAAATAGGATTTAACTATGTATACTTTGACAGGGTATAGAATTTTACAATATTAATATCTTTAATTTGTGCTATAGTAAGTTAACATGCTTATTTTTTAAGATATCACATTTACTACGGACATTAATTATCTTTAAGAGTGTGGTTATAGTGTAATATTTCTTTTATATCGTGATTCAACTAATTAATCTATTTATCCAAGTATGTTGAATGTGTAATTTATTTTATATCATCAATAAATAAAATTTAAATTTTTTCAAAATATGTACCTCATCAACATTTTCTTATCTATTTTAATATGTGTAGCTTACTTTGGTTATTTTTGTAATATTATCACTATATCCAATATTGATAATAGGCGAAATCTAGGTGATTTAGCTATTGTTTATGCTTCCGCTTGATTATATTCCGATGACATATTATGGTTAATTGATGAAAAATAGGCTCTAATTGTGATATGTATACATTGTAGGATGAGGAGCCTAAATGATGCTTTCAAGAGGAGATTGGAATGATTTATGAGCAAGAACAACCCCTACGAGTCGAGTGTGTGCAAGGACGAGACGGAAAAATGGACAAAATCGAGCTACTGAAGCGCACTAAGTAACACGCTAACTTCCAAACTTCGCGAACTTTTCTGCCTGGAATCCAAGAGAAGCGCGCGAAGTCACGTGCAAACTCCATACTTCGCGCAATAGTTCGCGCGTGTCCGATCCGGAGAAACGTTATTTAAGGGTAAAATTGAAAATCTGGAGAGAAACCCACTTAACCAACATAAAGTCAAGCTCGCCCCAAGGTTAAAGTATCAAGTTTTTCATAGTTTAGAGGAGGAGATAGAGAGGCAAGAGGCAAGGAGGAGTTTTGATCATCAAAGTCTTCTTTTCTTCTTTTGTTTTTGATGTTTGTGATGAAATTGAACTTGTTTATGATGAACCCTAGTATGAGCAGCTAAGACCCATTGTTCTAGGGTCGTGGGTAAAACATGAATGTTGTTGTTTGAAGTTTAATTTGACAAAATTGGTTTATCATATTGGGTTATTTATTTAATTTTGTTCTTAATTATTTTGCTGAGTAGCTAACAGTAAAATACTATCTACGAATCTTCAGTTGAACTCAAAAGTGGGAACTTTAGATTGCATATAGAATTAAATAGAGCAAGTTCTTGAACCGGGCCTCGGGGAATGAATTTGCAATTGGGATAGACATATACCCAATTGCCTTGTTTGGTTGGAAAACAGGAATTGTAAATGCGTTCTTGTTAATCTTAATTCCATAGACATATAGGCGTTGAGTTGACTTGAACAGGCGAGTAAAAACTCGACAGATTCTTATGAGTAATATCAACCCTGTCAATCAATAACCTAGATAAATTGATTAGTCATTTTGAGCTAAGGACACAACACGATTGTATTACACTCGTGACCCTGGAATATCTTCTCCTATTGTTCGTTACTTGTGATTGCCATCTGTTTGGTTACTTGCTTTGGTTAGATTAATCCTTTATAGTTAAGTAGAAAACCAATTACATATCTCTCTTATGAACAAACTCTTGGGTAGATAAAGAAATTGGGTTTGAATCAGTCAACAGTTGATCATAAGTCTTCGTGGGAACGATACTCTACTCACTACTCTATTACTTGACGATCACGTGCACTTGCGTGGGTGTTTTTGGCCGCAACAGGTTTTTGGCGCCGTTGCCGGTGACTTAGAAATTAGCTACTTGACTGAATTGAGCTTTTATTACTTATTTATTTGAGTTTTAACGTTAGTTCACTTTGTTTGTGCTAATACAGGAGTTTCTATTGAATGCGAAGAAGTAGAAGCGCAAACAACCTCCTTCCTTTTGATCCGGAAATTGAACGAACACTTTACAGGTTGAGGAGGGAGGTGGACGCGAGAACCAGAATTGAAAGAGAGTTGGACATCGACGTTCAACCACAGCCAATTGAGTTGGCGGGTAATGAAGAACGCGCGGTGATTGAAGCCGCAAGGCCCAGTCTGGCTAATATGACTCAGGCTATTGTGAAGCCTGACATCACTGGGCACTTTGAGCTGAAACAATACATGGTGTAGCTGATCCAATCCACAGGGTTGTTTGTGGGTTTACCTCATGAAGACCCGCAAAGGCACATTCAGAATTTCTTGGAAATTACGGATACCTACAACTATCCGAACGTTTCCAAGGACTATGTCAGGCTAACACTTTTCCCTTTTTCACTGATTGGGGAAGCTAAGGAATGGTTAAATAAAGAGCCAGCAAATTCAATCCGTACTTGGGATGATCTGGCAAGGAAATTCTTAATCAAGTTCTTCCCCACTAAGAAAACAAAGGTATTGAGGAGTCAAATTCTTGGGTTTGAACAACGAGCGGGTGAGACACTGCGTCAAGCATGGGAAAGGTACAAGAAGATGCTCAGAGACTGTCCTCATCATTGCCAGACGGATGAAGTATTAGGTCACACTTTTGTAGATGGATTAGATGATGCTTCAAAGATGAATCTTGATTCCGCTTGTGGGGGTAGTTGCATGGCCAGACCGTACAATAAAATCCAAATCTTGCTGAATAACTTCACTGCTAATGATAATAACTGGCAAGGTGAGGTTGATTCACGAAAGGCAGTTAAGCAAAAATCAGCTGGGTTACTTGAGTTAGACGAAGTATCAGCCATGAGAGCCGACATTGCAAAGTTGGCCAATTAGATGACTCGGATGACAATGCAGCAACCACAGACAATGCAACACGTACAACAGATGAATATTTGCTGTGAACTCTGTGGTGACAGTCATATGAGTGATATGTGCCCCACGAATCCAGAATTCATCTATTATGTGGGGCAACAGAATAGAGGTCCACCGAATCAGCATGCACAATATGGGAATTCTTACAATCCTAACTGGAGGAATCATCCCAATTTCTCATGGGGTAGAAATCAGCAGAATCAGAATTAGTATAGACCCCAAGGGAATTTCAATCAGCCTCAAAGACCACCCCAACAAATGGAAGAAAGTACCAATGATCTGCTAAAGAAGTTGTTGATTGACAATCAGCAACTCAGGACCGACTTCAGAAATCTTGAAAGGCAAATGGGGTAGTTAGCAACAACTCAAAACACTAGACCTGCAGGCGCTCTCCCCAGTGATACAGAAAAGAACCCTCAAGTGAATGCAGTTACACTTAGAAACGGGATGGAGCTAGAAGAAATACCAAAGAAAAAGAAAGACAAGCCCATACCTGAGGGAGAGTTGATCCCTAAAGTGACTCAAGAGCAAAAGAATGCTGCTGAAGTTTCAGAGCCCGTGGAGGCCCCTAGACCACCACCACCTTTTCCCTAGAGATTGCAGAAAAAGAATGACGATCGCATGTTCACAAAATTCCTCTCTATGTTGAGCCAGGTTCAATTGAATATTCCACTCGTTGATGTGCTTCGGGAAATTCCAAAGTATGCTAAATACATAAAAGATATAGTAGCTCACAAGAGAAGATTAACTGACTTTGAGACAGTTGCACTTACTGAGGAGTGCACTTCTAGGGTCCAAAATAAGCTCCCTCAAAAGCTTAAGGATCCTGGCAGCTTTACAATTCCTGTGCGTATTGGTAATGTGGATGTAGGTCGTGCTCTGTGTGATTTGGGGGCAAGCATAAATGTGATGCCCCTATCTTTGTTCAAACAATTAGGTTTGGGAGCTCCAAGGCCAACTACTGTGATGTTGCAGCTGGCTGACAGATCGATAGAACAT